AACCAATCATAAAAGGTTAAAAACCACTTGGTTGATGCGGACGCCAAAACACTTGGTTGGTGCGGACGCCAAAAACCAACGTCGATGACTGAATGCCGAACGACGGTTTCTGAAAACCGAAAGCCGGTTTCTGAAAGCCGAACGCTGGATGGTTTGGTTTTTGGTTTGGGAGAATTTAAATTGTTTTAGGCTTATTAAAACTTATGAAAATGACTTTGATGATGCATGAAAAGTATTTGAATATATTTAGCATAGAGAGCCAAATTGTAAAGTCAATGCCGGTCTTGATCACAAGTCAATGCCGGTCTTGATCACACAAAGATCGATATATATGAATAATAAATTGTTTATTATTTTAGTATTATTATTAAGGCACGAAATATATATTCATATATATTTAATATTTGGACATTTTAATTATATGATAATTAAGTTTGTCAAATATTATTTAATTAACAAAATATAACATAATTATTATATATATATATATATATATCTATGTGTGTGTGTGTGTGCGCGTAAAGATATATATGTATATATATGTGTGTGTTCGGTGTATATATATATGTTTATTTATATGTTTCGTATATATGTATATATATATATATATATAATAAATGTTATATTATTTATTTTGTGTTAGTTATATGATAATTAGAGTTGGCAAAATAAATTGGAAGCTTCCTTAAAGTGCCATTTGAAATTTCCTAAGTAGAATAGGAATGAGACTTGATTTCCTTTCTAAACTCTAAAAGGTACATTCCTATTAGGAATAGGAATGGGAATTATGCTCCTTATAAATAGGAGATCATCTCACCCCTTTTAGACTACACTTGGAATTTTCGACCCTAGCATTCTTTTAAGAGACAAAATATTGTTTTGTTCTCTTAATACTTTACACCAAATATTTTATATTTTAGAAATATTCTAGAGAAAAATTACTAGCATAATTTTTTCTAGAACACTCTTCGTTGTTCGTGTGTCTCAATTGGAGGTCATATACTTTTGTGGCTAGCTCCTGGATCAATCCATCAACCTACACATATCGTTGCTTGCTCGCCAAGAAAGGTATATTTTTCAACAATAACTTGTAATAATCATAAGAGGTCTTGGGTGGATCTATGTTTGGACATCAAAATTTTTATATTTTCGCTGCCCTATCCAAGCGTAGAACCCAACAGTGGTATCAGAGCCGACTTATGAGAATTATAAGTTTTGTAGATCTAATTGTCGTTAGGGTTTTTGATTATTGATAAAATAAAATATATGTGTATATATTTTCTAAAATTATCCAAAATTCAAGAAAGTGCCAAAATATGATTCTGGACTTTATAAAATTCGAAAATATGATTTTTGAATTAAAATTTGGATTTATTTTTATTTTTGGGTTAATCGGTTAAAAACTGTTTTAACCCATTAAAATATTTCGAAAATTATAAAATTAAATTTTATTAAATATGAGACTTTCAAATATGATTTTAAGACCTCTGGATATTTAAAATTAATTTTCAGAAATTATTTCATAATTTATAAAGTATTGTTTGATTTGTAGTTAATTTAATTAATTACAAGATAAATAAAAAATAAATTTTGAAAATAATTTTAATACTTATGCAATGTTAAAATATGATTTGAAGTACTCTGGAAAATTAAAATAAATATTCGGTTTTGATTTTCTATTTTTCCCGATTTAAATAATCTTATTCGGTAATAATATAGATTAAACCAAAAAGGACAATTAAAATTCGGGATTATAACTTTATAAACTTGAGAATATGATTTTCAGAGTTCATAAAAGATTTTAGAATTAAATTCGTAATTTAAGTATTTAATTATTAATTTTTGGGAAAAACTGTTTTGGTAATTTCGTATTTAATTCCCGAAAATTAAATAATTAATTTTAAATTATGGAAATTTAATATTTGGTAATAATATCATAATATTCTGAGAATAATGATTTTTGGAACAATTATGGTACACGAAAAATAATTTTGGAAATTGTTTTATGGATTGCCAAATAATAAATAGAAGGTACCAAAAATGAATTTAAGTAAAATCTGGAAAAGTTTGTTTTCAGATTTTACATGAGTAAAAAACTTAATTTTTGGAAAATATTTTTTTTTGGAATATTCTAAATTAATTTTGGAAATTAATTTAACTCCTTTTGGAAGCAAATTCCAAAATACCGAAAATAAAATTTATTTAATTCTGGAAATCTGATTTTCAGAATAACACGGACCCAAAGTAAATATTTTTGGAAAATATGAATTTTTGGAAACTCGGAATTAATTTTTGGAAAATTGAAGTCCGATTTTTGGTATTTAAATATAGAATTTAGAAAATAAATTTTATAAATTCTGGAAATTTTATTTTCAGACTTATAAAACCAGAATACACATTCTGGAATTTATTTATTAATTTTCAAAAGGTATAAGTATTTATTTCGAATTAAAATCCCAATTTCGAAATTAATATCTATATTTACGGCAATTAACTATTTTAAAATTCAGGAAAATTCAAAATTAAATTTTGGATATTCTGGAGTTTTAAAATAAAGTTAAATAAAATTATTTGATAATTTTTAGGCTTGTAGTTTATTTTTCTTAAAATAAACTAAGTCTAGGGCGAACGCGGCTTGCCCGGTGTATGGTTTTTATGCATGTGATGTATGAATGTATGCTTGGTGTGTGGTTGTGACTTAGAATCATTGGTTTTTAAATACGGCCTGCGTGTCGTGCCTCATGTCTGAATTCTGGTTGTAAATCTCTTCTTAAACCTCATACCCCTTGCTTACAAAGCAAGGATTCTTTTCTCTCGATTAAACAAAGAAGTCCATGAAGAAGGAAGGAAGATGATGAAGCCAAGAAGAAGAGGAAACCAACAAGTAAGGGCTGAACTTGAAGACTAAAGCATTCTTAAAGAAAGAAGGTGAAGCTGGAGATGGAGATCTCAAGTGAAGGCTTTATCGTTAGTTCTTTAGGAGGCCACAACCATGCCACGTTTTATTCATTATACATGTTTGTATGATATTCGCTAGTGTATGTGCGCGACACATGCCATAGGTGAGATCATGTTTAAAATCCCTCGTAATATTAAGTTTGTGCCTTCCGACGCCGACTCACTCGTCGATACTAGTTTCGATCAGTCAACGGACACGCCAAAGCGGGACGCCTGGTTTACATTGGTATGACGTGAAATCTGTAACAATGGATACTGAGTACGCCCCGGGTTGAACTTAACTAAGTTAAGGTAAAAAGATGAATAACTTAGAGGCACATGGTTAGGTTAATAAATAAAATCAAATTCATCTAACCTAGAGTTGTAAAATGTTACAATTGGAAATAGTTCCTACCAGAAATAGTTTAACTATAGGGCAAGATGCAAAGCACAACTATAGTTAGATGAAATAAGGATCTAGGCCCAATATAGGATTTATTTAGAACAACCTAACAAACCAAGGATTGTAATTGGATTACAATTGGAAATAAGTTCCTACCTAATTAGTTTAACTATAGGGCAAGATGCAAAGCACAACTATAGTTAAAATAGTGGACCTTGGCCCACTAAGATATCTCTTTAGGAGAAGTCTCGAATCAATAGGTTACGTACTTGAGGGTAGTTGATTTGTTAAAATAGTGGGAGAGTTATTAGTCAAAGACCTACCTAATTACTTAGATTCTTGATATTAACTATCTTGCAAATTATATGTAGATGTCTAATAACAACCATAACCTCACTCTTCGCTCGATCCTCGACAAAGATAAGTTGACCGGCTCTAACTTCTTAGACTGGCAAAGAAATCTCGTTATCGTTCTTCGACTCGAGAAGAAAGAATACGTGCTCGAACGAGCCATTCCACCTGTCCCGGCCGCCAATGCTTGTAGAGCTATCAAGGATACTTATGAGAAGCATGTTGATGATGACAATCAAGTGGCATGTCTCATGTTGGCTACGATGACTTCTGACCTTCAGAAACATCATGAGAGTATGAAGGCGTACGATATGATCATACACCTAAGACAGCTTTACCAAGGACAAGCTAGACATGAGATATTTCAAATCTCCAAAGCTCTCTTTAGTTGCAAGTTGTCAGTTGGAAACCCCGTTGGTCTGCATGTTCTCAAGATGATTGGCTAACTCTTGAGAAATTGGGTTTCGAACTAAGGAATGAACTTGCAACTGATCTGATTCTGCAATCGTTGCCAGAGTTGTACAAGCAGTTTGTGGTTAATTACGAGATGCATGAACTCGATAAACCACTGCCAGAACTTTTGAAGATGCTACAAACTGCTGAAGAGAGCTTGACGAAAGGAAAGGGGAATTCTGTCCTTCTGGTTCAAGGAGGAAAAGGCAATAAGAAGTTCAAGAAAGCAAAGAAGAATGGACCTAAAGGCAAGGGTAACACCGAACCAAAGTCAAATTCTTCTAAGCTCAAGCCTAAATGTGGAGTGGCCAAAGATTCCATTTGTCATTACTGTGGTGAAGTTGGCCACTGGAAGAGGAATTGCAAGCAGTATTTGGCAACCAAGAAAAAGGGTGAAGCTTCTGCTTCAGGTACAATTGTTGTAAAGACTTAAACTAATGTACAATCTCTTCAAAAGTATTCGATACTTATAGTATTGCAAATCGTTGCAGGAACTGAAGAGAAGAAGTAGGAGTGTTGATCTTGAAGATGCAAGGGTTGCAGCTCAGTGGCGCATTAGTTTAAGTTTTAGTATTTGATCAGTTTTCAATTTTGAATTGATGTTTACTTATTGTTTTAAGTACTATTGGTTATTTCAATAAAGGACAAATTATTGCTCCATTTATAGAAGTATTTCATATGATCAAATATTTTGCCTCACAAATAGATACAACAACTATACCAAGGCTACAAAGTGCAATAATTAATCAGTTAATAAGTTTGTCACAAAATTATGAATAAAGTGATAACCACTTAAAGATATAAGGATATCTTTATAAAGGTTATAGCCAAGTACCCTTTCTATTAAAATTTCTGAAATTTAAACTTTCCATTAGCATTAATACAGCACACTTAATAAAGATCAAGCGATATTAATGCCAAAGTTACATAATAGGAAATGCAAAAGTGATATGATCATGAAATTGACGTTCCCTCAAGCGTTATCTAGATAACGTGACTAAAATAGTTAGTTTAATAAAGAGGATTATGTAACCTTGCCAAATACTACTGAACCTTAAGCACTAAAATAATCATTGTAGACTCTGAAAGGAAAGAGCACTTGGAAACTGTTCCACAACGATCCCTTCCTTAATAATAAGTAATGAAAGTAAGTCTCATATGAATGAAGACACTTTAACACTTATTATGGACGAGTCTATCAAGGATAAAAGGAGGGTTTCAAATTATCTATAACCAGTTATAGCACTTATATGTCTAGGATAAAAGTCTTATTAAAGACAAGTGGGAGCACAATAAGTATGTTGCATATCATTGACAAAATAAATTAAAAACTTATCAGTCATGAATGCAAATAGTAGTTATGTGCTCAAGTCTAAAGAATCCATATAGATGGATCAAAGAAGAAGGAATAATCTAAGACCAGTACATATATGGAAATTTTTGAAATTTGCATAAATCTCAGGGTAAAGCCTTTTTGGACTTGATTTATTCTAAAGGAATATATTTTAAATATGTTCAAGCTGAGATAAGAGTAGTAGTCAACTTTGTAAAAGTTAACTTTTGATTCTTAAGAAGAGACAAAAAGTATGGTTTTCTAAAATGGCTTAAGTGTGAATGTTACACACAAAATAGCTCGTTTAGAACAACTATAAGGTAAGGTTGAAATTAACAAAACATATATTAACAAGTATTGACATGGTGTCATACGCATATAAGTAAGATAAATTTGCAACTTTGGAAGTAGCAAAGAGGAAGATGTTTTAGTTTTGATAGCTTCACAAAAAGATAGCATTGCTCCCAGCATAAGAAACCAATATGTCGTTGTACTGACAACGATAGGGTTACTACAGGAGCTAAAGAAACTACACCTAGAAACCAAGACGTTATTAGATCTCACCACATTATACGAACAGTTGTAAAATGAAAGTATCTTGCAAGATAGAAAAGGATAACAATCTCTTATCCTATTGACCTAGGCTTTGGGAAAACCTATACACGAGGGTCACACTTCGTGCATGAGGCATACATGGAAACCATAATTGGCCTTAGTGCTAGTGGGAGATTGTTGAATATAAGGGGGTGTTTGTTTTTCTGCCAGAAGACCTTCTGGCGTCTTTTGTCTGCGCCGCGCAGACGCGCGCAGATGATGGGCTCTGCAGATTGTTTGTTTTTTGGAAGACATTTCACTCAAAAAGGTCTTCCTGGCATCTTTTTGGAGAATACATTAACCAATGTCTTCTAACATCTTCTAACATCTTCTCCTTTTTTCTACTTCTCTTCACCACCACAACCGTCCACCGCCACCGTCCACCACTACCACCGTCCACCATCACCG